TTATTTTATTTGGCTCCTCTTTCAATATTGCAATTTGATAAATAGCATACGCGGCAATTCTTATGCTCACATCTGGCACAAGCACATCACATGCATGTCCTCATAAGTTTATTATTATTAACCTCATTCCGTTTCTTTGAAGGCAGAGAAAATGAACAGAAAATCATGCATTGGCAACACACCAAAGGCGGGAACCTGGAGCTCTGATCCAGAGACGTGCCCCCCCCCCCCCCCCCCCCCGAGAGAGAGGAGGAGAGGAAAGAGATTAAACAAAGCAACTGCAACTGATACTATTCATCATACCAGTTGTAATAGTAGTAGTAATAATAATCACAACATACACAAAGGTCTACGCGTCAAAAAGTGTTCTCGCCCCAGTTACCCATAAATATGTTCATTAATGTTTTGTTCATTTAAACTTTGATCTACAACATAAGCATCAATATGTTATGTTAATGCACTACACTCATGAGGTTTTGTGCATTGGTATGAGTTTACAATTTTTATTATAGATGAAAGTTTGAATTAACAAGACAGTTAAAAAACTTATTTCCGGGCAATTGGTCTGAGAACACCTTCGGACGGCACGCACTCAAATGATCATGATAACGATGATAAAAAATTGGTGATAATGGCAATTCCATAGGAGGGGGCAGGGAAATGAAAAAAAAAAAAAAAAAACAGGGTGATATTGCCAGGAAGTTTAGGGAAATCTTGTTAGTTCAACCATGAACATCATCATTGCCATTTGCATCATCCTTATAATTCCTAGTAGTCATAAAATGATTCACATCATTATGTTTATTACCATGGACATCATTCAAATCTTTGCTTTCATCATTAGTCACACTATGATTAGCATCATATCCTCCTATTTTCTATTCTTCTACTTAATGAAGATAAGAACAGGAATCATATCCATCATATTCGTAATAACTTTAAGAACTCTGATTATTATAATGATTAATGCTGTTCCCGAAATATTGGTAATTCTCCATATTCTCATGCTGATTGTAATTGCTTCTAAATATTTTCATTAATATCATAAGAACCTCATTAGCGACATGAAGATAATCCTTATTCATGTTAGTGTTCCCTTAATCACGACTGTGATTGTTATTGTCTTTTGCTGCTGCTTCTTTCTGTTCTTATTCTTATCTTTGCTTCATCATAGACATTTTTATCCTTAGCATTACACATCGACCTTATTATTGCTGTTGTTGTTGATATTATCAGCGCCACTATTCTTCCTATTCATACTCCTTCTCTAATTCTTTGTCTCGCTTTTACAATTGTTTCATCATTATTATATCTCCTATTATTATCATGATAATAGTGATATTACTATTATTATTGTGATTGTGATTCCCACAACAAATATTTATAACAGTTATAATCATTTGTATATGCATATGTTTGTGTATAAGTGCATGTGAGAAGATTCACATATGAGAAGTATGTAAGATCATGTACATTATGCAGAATATAACAATAAATACAAAGGATAATATCATGCACATCTCAGTAATATGATACAGACCGCTGGGTTACAATTAGACAGACAGAGAAAGAAGGAGGGAGGGAGAGAAGATGAGAGGTGAAAGAGAGGAAGAGAGAGAGAGAGAGAAAATGAAACAGCTAGAGATAGAGAGCTAAACAAACAAGGAGACGGAGGGAGAGGGGAGCT